CCTGGGGGGGGGGGGCAATCCTACGCACACACTGGGTGTTAGTAGGGAATAGGTACTGGGTACTTCTCCCCCCAAAAGTATCTTACTATGCCTGCCGGTGGTGCTTTATCCAGGCTGGGGTCCGTGGGGATTCTCATTGGTGAAATTAGTCAGGATTGTGGATTCTTGGGGAGCCTTGGGGAGGAAGGCATCATGCTTAGGATAGGAGAGGGCGCGATAATGCATTCTAGTGGAAGGGGAGTTCGTTGCCCATAGAGTCTGCGGGACGGGGCACAGATTGGGGATGACTGCACATGCATGGACCCCACCTGTGCCCGGGTCGTCCTTAACATTAGAGTTAGGGTAGTGTCTGCAGAAAGCCGTTCGGGGTGCTCCGGTAAGTGTTGGCGCAGATCACATCTTGCGATCTGAGATCTGAGCATTAGCATAGGTCATGGTATCATGGTGCCATCTTGAGGTGACTCCCCCTGGGTCCCTGGAATCCATCCGACCTCCCAATGGATGAGGACTACCGGCACCTCCTGAGGCCTGGTCACCACCCTCCACTACACCCTGGACGTTTTTCATTTCCAGCAGGTGCCGCTCCCCACCAATAGATGGAGCAGCCCTACAGATAAGTCCTCAATTTCTGACGTTTCTGTTACCACCGCCAGGATAAAGGGATATCACAAGGTCTATTTGGTAATAAAAATAAAAATAATAATAATAATAATTAAAAAAAAAAAAAAAAAAAGATACTGAGCCCGCACAAGGATCAGAGATGTGCAGCGGGGTCTGGGCAAGTGGAGTCTGTGCCCCACGTTTTCGTGCGATGCCCACTTATCCTGGCTTTCTGGGAGTGGTGGGCACAGGAAGTTGTAAACTTATCTCCGCTGGATGTCACGGAGGCGGATGACGCAGCTATCCTCCTAGGGACCTTGATGAAGGGGGACAGGCCGAAACATGAGGCCCTGTGGACCCTGCGGAACGAACGATGCAGACAGGGAGCATCCCCGCCACCGCAGGCATACCAGGAAAAGGCACTGGAAAACATCACAGTAGCCCTTGCGGCGCAGCTTCATCGAAGTAGGCTCACAAGAGGACAGAAGGAGAAAGGTATCTGGGCAAGATAGAGCCCGTATCCGCAATTAATTGTTCACTCAGAACCCCGAGACGGTCCACGTGCAGTTAGGCCCTGTCCTGCTGCGCCATGTGCCATAGCTCAAAATTGAGGCGGAATCCAGTTAGGGGCTGTGACTCGTACGAGAAGCAACCGATTTGTACCATAGTTAGGAAGGATAGGTGGGAGGGATCTCAAGGTAAACACATGTAGAATCAAGTGCTGGAATAACACTATCTGAAACTGTAAAGGCAAAATTAAAAACACGAATGGGCGAAAAGAGCGGCCGCTGAACTGGAAAGGGCAGTAGAAGTGCTGCACGCCGCCATAGGTAAATTTTTCATTCGTTTTCTTTTCCCGTCCAACACCACGGCCGACCCCTGTAGTTATGACACCCGGCCTTGACCACGGCGCGCGCAGCGCTTTCATCGCCCACTTTCGGGTTTGGTGGCCGTTGATTTTGCCCGTTCGTGTTTTTTTCACCCTTTGGCCCCTTTCGTGTTTTTTTCGCCCTTTCAAACTCCTTTTGTGACACAAACGGGCTTGCCTCATAGATCTAATATACTAGGGAAGGGGAGTCTCAGAGCCGTAGGAGGTAGGAACTTGAAGATAGGAAAGGGTATTAGGAAGGTGAGCAGGGGAGATGGGGAGGGGGTTAGGAGTTGGGGGGCCGGGGAGAGGGGAGGAAAAAGGGGGCAAAAAACACAAAATTGGCAAGGGGTCTAAGAGTAGCCAAAGAGGGTAATAAGGAAAACGCTGGGGTCAACCGACCCAACACTCCCAAGCAGGGAGAACGCTATCGAGGAAGTGCAAAGGAACTGCAGACAGATGGTAGGATGAAGGAACGGTGATGGAATGGTGCTAGAAGAAAGATAGCAGACATGCAAGTACAGGAGTGAAGGCACAAAGGGTCGGGGAAAGGGTAGCAGAGCGGTAGGCATTAGACATGCAAGGAGATAAAGAAGGAGACAATGAAATGGTGACGGCAAGACAATATGCAGCCTGAGAGACTGCAAGGAACGCCCCCCCCCCCACGGCCCGCCCCTCTGGAGATTCTCCTCCTGTGTGCCTAGGTGCTGCTCGTAAGCCTCCCGACCAGCAGGACACCCCCGAAGAAGGGCCATGGCTTGGGGGGTGGAACGCCGCCCCTTGGCAGCTAAGCAGCCCCCCCCCCTTGCTTAGGTGGGTAGAGCCACAAGGGTTAGGATGAGCGTCCTCTCTCGTCTTTTCTCCCTCGTTGGCTGTAAGAACATGCTTGCCGGTAATAAGCAAACCGGACTGACGCCCACCAGAATAGAAGGGACTTCCATCTATTTTGTGAAAGAAAAAAAAAGAGAAGAAAAACATAGACTGACCAAAACCGGTTCATGTTCTCATTTTCCAACGAGCAAGAAAAAACATCATTTTGTTCACCCTTCCTTTTTTTCTTTTTAGAACCTCATAAGAAAGGAGCATACTACTACTACAAAAAAAAGCAACCTACCTAGAAATTTCAAATTTCAAATTTTTAACGTCGCGAGACAGGAGGGTAAATTTCTGATGATGTTTACTCTATCTATCTATAATATACTATGGCCAGAGAAAAAAGGGGGGAATTTAACTGCTCCAGAGTCACCTTTTTTCAGTCTGAAATAGGCAAGAAAAGGCAAAGTGGAGCCGATGTCATTGTTTGAGTTTCAAAATCATGTGCAAGTTCAGCTTGGAGTTGAAGCGGCTGTTGTTGCCCTGGGGCTAAGTCCCACATACACCGTTGAGCCTGGGGCTAAGTCCCACATACACCGTTGAGCCTGGGGCTAAGTCCCACGTACACCGTTGAGCCAGTTCAACGTTGAACTAGCTCAACGTGTGTGACCCCACTCGACGTCTAAGATGCATCCGGAGCTGCACATCCAGCGGTTATTCCTCGGTGTATAAAACACAAAGACTTTCATTTTTGTTTTTCGGTTCAAGAAAGGTGCTAAGAAATCCTTCCGCCCGAATATAAAGCCCCCTACCCTGCCCATCTTCTGTTGAACTACATACCCCAATTCGAGTCGGGTATGGGTTCAACGGTGCTTGTGCCATCATGACCTTCTGTGCGAGCACACTCTGACAGCCGTGGGAGGACACTCTAACATTCTGTGGGAGGGCACTCTGACATCCATGGGAGGACACTCTGACAGAGCGTTCATGCTGTGTTTGGCTGTGCAGCCCCAAACTCGTTTCTGCGAAGGCACCAAGCCAGGAGTACTGTCTACGTTCATTTCATGTTGTAGGGAGTCCCTGTCTCCGAGCTTGCGTGGTATGCGGAGCCTTTCACTGAGGGTTGTTGTATTTTCCATTTTACTTTTTAGAAAATACGGACAAAGATTTCAGTAGCATTTGGTTATTCATTGTTTATTGGGAAATAGGGGGAAAAAAAGCTTTCAGCAGCATTTGATTCTCCATTTTTGCATTTGTTTTGACTCTTTTGAGTTTTTAAGTCGCCGTTTCGTTGAACTAGTTCAACGGTGCATGTGGGACTTGGCCCCTGGGGCAAGGTCCCACTTGCACGGATTATCTCTTAATTCGTGCATGTGGGACTTGGCCCCTGGGGTGAAGTCCCACCACCCAAGTTAAGTTTAGAAAACGCAAAGGTGCAACACCATTTTGACATTAATAAATTAGGAACAAGAAATTAGAAAACTGCAAATAAAAACGCTAGAAACAGCTTTTCTCCTTATTTTTTACTACGTAACTCGGAGAAATGAAACACGTCTGGCACAGTCGGAGTGAATGTCTCCGTGGAAAAGGGATACTCCCCGTGGTGAGGGGACAGGAGGTCACCATTTCTCAAATGGACAGGGACAACATGGATGGCCAAATGCCTTCATTGCTCAAAGAAGGGAACGAGTTCGATGCCAGAGAGCCAAACACAGCTGTCAGAGTTCCTCCGTTTCAGGATGTAATGATGTCTGAAAAAACAAAAAGAGAAAAGAAAGGCACATAAGTTGAGATATCTACCCTGGGGAGCGGAAAAGGGGCGGGGGGGGGGGGGGGGGGTAGGGTAGTTTTCTCAAGTTAAAATGGTTTCCTGCCTAGACCAAAAGGGCCAAAGCATACGACAAAAAGGATTTCACGTCAAAGAAAAAATCTACAAAACGACCAAGACCCAAGAGCCTAGCTCAGTGGGTATCACCCATGAACTGTTGACATACAGGACCCGAGTTCAAATCCAGATGACGGACCTTGATGAGAAAAACCAACTACTAATGAATTGCTTGGGGCCGCTCAGCTCAATGATAATATCTCAAGGCCGTAGCCCTTCGAAAAAAAACGACCAAATCTAATATTAGGTTATTCTCCTGTATTTCGGAGACCATTAGATTTGCAATACATCAACGGCAGAGCTCCGTTCCGTCCCAGCACGCCACACGCGATAGAAAGCTCAGCGTTGAGACAACTCGACTTGGGAAGCGGGACTTCACCCCTGTTTTCGAGAACTGCTGAACTTGCCTATTAGAAACGTTGGGTGTGACCCAGGAGCGATCGCGGCCTGCGCGCCCCCCCCCCCCACCCCCCCCCCCCCCAAAAAAAAAAAAAAAAAAAACACTGCACTGCGGAATCGGCATATGTCTGTGCCGGAACGTGTACTCGATGTCTTCGACTCATATCCCACCAGCCTAAGGGCGTCACTCCACTACTCAGGAAATGCAGAAAAGACAAAACTCATGGCAATGTATCTGTCCTTGTTCTAGCTGAAGATTCACTCTCGTTTTGCACATTTTGAGAGTGGTGGAGCGAGGCCGTAAGGCAGATTAATTCAGTCATAAGCTCGGACAGTGCACCAGATTGTGTTGGCTACAGAGCTGTCAATCTCTTTTTTTATTATTATTATTATTTTATTATTATTATTATTATTATTATTATTATTTTTAAAGAAAACCGGGCAGTGCTATACTACAGAGCTGCCAATCATTCTGCGGTGGAAAAGAGGGTTCAACAATTTCGAAAAAATTAGAACTGAAGATCGCGCAGCAGATCATCTCGTTCCTTGCGCAGTCTTGAGACCTGCTCCTTTAAAATTTCTACTTGATGAATTAATTTGGGATGTTGATTTCGGAGTTGTTCTTCGTACCTCGTTCTTATGACGGTGTTTGTGTGCTCTGCTTTGCGAAGATCGCCTTCCAACTGCAACCCTCGGCGATCGGCATTGTGAAGTTTTTCCAGCAGCTCAGCGATCTTGACGTCCGCTGCGAGCTGCTCCTCTTGTTGCCGTTTGCCCGCCGCTTCGTTTTCCTGCCTGAGAACAGCAATCTCGTCCGTCGTCTTGGCTACTTGCGCTTCTAGACTCGCGACCAAATCCTCGTGTCGTCTGCGCTGATCTTCCATGTCGTCGCCGAGACGCCTTAGTTGCTTCTCCCAGTCTTTCTCTTTTTCTCTCGTCGTGCGATCTTCCTCCTCCATCCTGCTTGAAAGCTCGAGGTACTTGTCCTTCAACTCTTTGTGCTGCCTTCGCTCTTCTCTTAACTCGTCGCTCAGGTCGCTTACGCTCTTCTCCCAATCTCTCTCTTTCTCTCTCCATGCATCTTCTTTCGCTTCCGTTTTGATCGACAGCTCCACACTCTTCTTCCTGAAATCGTATTGCTCCGTCGCCATCGCAACGCACTCTGCATTCGCCTGTTTAAGACGTTCGTTCGTGTGAAGGAGGTCCTGGCATCGGTCCTCCAAACACTTCCTCATCACCTCCTCACGCGCCAGTCGCGCTGTCAGCTCACGACAGTCCGCTTTCATCTGCTTGTACTCGCGTTCAAGATCTGACGTCATCTCCAGTATGTCTACCTTTTCACCCAACATCATCTTTTTTTTTTTTTTTTTTAACTGTAGTGTACGAGTATTATATAATAATACAAGCGCCGTCTTTTCTCTGCCCTTCCAACGGCTTTCCTAGCTTTATTTTTTTATTTTTTATTTTTTTTCCTTTCTTTTTTCTCTCAATTTGACCTCACACTACCTACCTACCACTACTCCTAATTATAGTCCTTCCCAACACCTCTCAAGGATTTCCTAGCTTTTCCTCTGCTGCTAGCTTTTAATTGTTTTTTTTTTTTCAATACTGTTCGAGTATTGTCATTCTATTGTTTTATGATTGTTTATATTCTCTTTGCTTCTCCTCACTCATTAAGCAGTTTTCAGATTCAAAGTCGCGAGTCGCTAGGTTATGCAAAAAAAAAAAAAAACTTTTCCCCGACAAAAGTCAACTTTGTGGACATTCCAATTTTCCTCACTGCCTGCACAACGTATAGTACAATAGAAATGAAATGCTCACAGCGTGTGTTTTCCCTGCACAAAAAAAAAAACAAAAAACCGATAAAAAAATGAAAAAAAATGCAACAATCTCCACGAGTCCATGTCATCATCAGGGCAGGCAATACACTCTAATTAACCGTCATTCAGGGAAAAAAAAAAAGAAAAAAAAAAAGGGGGTAACTACGGCGCAGTCACGAAAGCAGTTTGTAATTGCATTTCAAAGTTCAAACTGCGTTCTAGCAGTTTTTTTTTTTTTTTAATCAAATTTATGTATTTCAAAAGGAACTCATCTTAGGGGGCTGGGGACCCCACCATTCAACCCGGTCGAAATTCTGGCAGCATTAGCCAGCTTATGCTTTTTTTTTTCTTTTTTTTTTTAAAGGCCCAACTTTCAAATGCTGTTGAAACTTGGGTTGGCCTTTTTAGCAGTTCGGTCAGGTACATGGACCGTTTATTTTTTGTTTTTTGTTTTGTTCGTTTTTTTTTTCCTTTTTTCCCGCCCCCCCGCCCCCTTCAGGCGTGGCCGAGACATCTCGGCCGTGGCCCCGCCACTCAACCAGATGCTTTTTTTTCTTTTTTTTTCCCTCGGGCGTGGCCGATCTCGGTTGTGGCCCCACCACACGACCGGGAAAAAAGAAAAAAAAAAAAAGAAAAAAAAAGCCGATGTGCCTGGATGACTGGATGGCACTAAGAAAAGAGGTACGCTTGAAGGGGTTTCCAAGGTTTTGGGTTTTCAAGAGGGTACGGGAGGTTTCTCGTGAAAATAAGGGCATGCTGGATGACTGGGCCGCCATTTTTGAACTTGGCTTAGATCTGGGGCCAAAAAGTTGGATGTCCAGTGATCCTGGTGGAAGGAAAAATAACAGCCGAGGACCGCTGCCATCAAATCCGTATCTCCGCGAGTAGGACCGTATTGTCTGGTTTTGTTGTCTTTTCTGCGCCCTCTCGCTGGCTTGCTGATCCAATGACATTGGAAAGCTCCCGTGAACTGGCGGGCAGTTGAAGTCCCATCAAATCCGTATCTCCMCGAGTAGGACCGTATTGTCTGGTTTTGTTGTCTTTTCTGCGCCCTCTCGCTGGCTTGCTGATCCAATGACATTGGAAAGCTCCCGTGAACTGGCGGGCAGTTGAAGTCCCATCAAATCCGTATCTCCGCGAGTAGGACCGTATTGTCTGGTTTTGTTGTCTTTTCTGCGCCCTCTCGCTGGCTTGCTGATCCAATGACATTGGAAAGCTCCCGTGAACTGGCGGGCAGTTGAAGTCCCGCATAAGTGAGCGGGCTATCGTACTGATGGGGTCATGTGCTGCTTGGAGCGAAGTGTGGGGTGATTGCCAGGGTCCGTGCGGTGTTGTGTGTGGTGTGCGCTGAGTGTGGACACTACAGCCTTGCAGGGGTGGGGCGGATATCACGGCCGGTATGGTTCCGCTTTTGAACACCGTGTCCTGGCTATAGTGGTTGCGATACTTGGCTCTCGACGCCGAGGTCGCCGGTTCGAGTCCGTGCTTGCACGGAGGAGAGCTGAGGCCCAGAGGTACTGATCCAATGACATTGCAGGGTTCTGGTTTTGTCTCTGTTTATTTGTTTTCTATTCTGTTTTTTTTTCTCTTTTTTCTCTGTTCCGTTTTTCACTCTGTTTTATTCTGTTTCCGAGTCTGTTTATTCTGTTTTATTCTTTTGCTCGGCTGTCTCCGATTCACCACACGCTTGTCCGCCTGTCTTCAATTCCCTCTAGAACCAGCCACCACATCCTCCCTCCTCAAAACGAGGTTCCTGTGTCTGACGATAGAAGTTCATAGAACGCACACCTGAGTTCGTCTCTTTCCACAGGCGATACCTCTGTCATAATCCGGTGACGTCTTTTCTACAGCTCTCTTTGTATAATCCTGACACGCTTCGGAGCAGCTTCTTGCCTAGGTCCTCTTTCCCGCCCACTGTTCTCCGATCTTCTTTGTCTTCTTTCCTGCCATAGTCCTGCTGCTCTCTCCCAGCTGCCTCACCTAGACTCTGACCACTTAGTCTCCCCCAGGATCTGAGCCTGTAATCCTGTTCGGCAATTCTCCCGCTTGAGAGAAAACGAGTTGCCACCAGGGATGGTGTGTAGGAGTAAACGCGGAAATTTGCAGGTTTGGGTTTGTGACTCAAGTGGGTTCGTGATGCATACAAGAAGTGTAAATTCCCCGTAGTTGATCCCGTTCGCATGCACTTTTTCAAGTTCCCTAATGATGGCCTTGCAACTGGCGGCAGGGCCGAAACCCGTCGGGACATCGCCAGCAGGCTTTGTGCTTCATCATTTTAAGCAAAGCATATCCTGTTGTGCAAATCTAGTCTCTCTCTCTCTCTCTCTCTGCTGTTTTGTGTACGGTTATCTTCTCGGAGTACTGCAAGCTGTGGATGTATTCAACAGCATTTGAAACTCGGGCCCTGACTAAACTGCTAAAACGCAGTTTGACATGCAATTACAAACTGTAACCCTGACTGCACCGTAGTTTTCTCAAAAAAAAAAAAAAAACTCTCCATTGGGAACACGGATACCAACTCTCCTTAGGAAGCCCATGGGGAAATGATAAAAAACTGGATCTGAAATGGAATAATTGATTTTTGTAATTTATTTTTTTAAAGCCTTTTCCCAAAGTCCAAAACATTTGGACAACGTTTCCATCCATGTGTGTCATCCTTCAATGCGCAGGTGCCATGCTAATTAATAATTATTAATTAATCTGAAACAGAAAAAAAATATATATATATATCATCTGTATCATTCCAGTTCTACCTGATGTCGCGAAGGAAATGCTCTTTCTTTTCTTTGTTTTTTTTTTTGTTTTTTTTTTTTTTGGTTTTTGAAAGGGTGATGGTCATTACATGATGAGCCTGATTTCGGTCCTGACTGGAGTCCTGCCACAATCTAAATTAATACAGTCTGAGGGCCTGGCTCCACGACCCTTGAAATGTGCAAAAAGAGAGTGAATATTCCCCTAGAACATGGAAAAATACGCCACTGCAATTTTTATCTTTTGTGCATGTCGAGAGTAGGGGAGCAACGCCCTGAGGGCACACTCACACTTCCATCCCATAGGATCATTTTTTGAGAAAACGCGGTTGCCCGATATGTGGTTTTAGTGGTCGGGTCGGTCACACTGTGTCCCCATTTAGGAAAGTACAAGGTCGCGACAGCCCACCAATTTGGGGAATTGCGAACTGGGCAGTCACATGGCCCCTTCCGAGATGGTCCCATTTTGTTTTAGGGTTTTCCTCTTTTTTTTTTTTCCCCGTGCATGCATGTTCCAATTGCCTGACCGCCAGCATCTTCCTCTTCAATTTTTTTTGCCATTATTGAATGTTATTATTTCCAAAAAAGACTGCGAATTCGCGACAACCTCCCGAGGTTACCTCAACTTCCCTCTCCTGTTGAACTGCTGTTTTATCATAGGAAGGAGTTAAAGTTGTGTAAACACGTCGGACTACTAAGTAGGGAAGTTGCAACAAGAATGGAAAGTAATAAGTTTTCTTTTCGAGTCATTGAGCATATCGAATCCAAAACATCCATTTTACTGAGAGCTGCAGTTATATACAGTAGCTGCAGGTAGGCTAATTCCTTGGGCACAGGTCTGTCTGTTACGAATAAGACATTTGTCGTGCTGTAGAGTAGTGTAGTAGGTTAGTAGTAGAATATAATAGATAGGAAGAAGCTTTGGGCAGCCCTGGTGCTTGTCACTGCTGTCTGGTCCAAGTTGCCCTCAATACTGGTAGGCATAGTTGCGGCGCACGTGTGCGCTGTGCGCGCCGGTGCGCTGTGCGCTGTGCGCAGGTTTAGCAGAGCGCGCACTGTGTGGTGTACGGTGTGCGGTGCGCTGTGCGCTGTGCGCGCGCTGCGGCCTGTGCGCAGGGAAAAAAAAAAATGCCAAACCCCTTCCCCCCCCGCCCCCAGCAGCCATACGGAGGAAGAGAGGTGGGGGAGGAGAGGTGTTGTGTGTGTGTCTGTGTGAGAGAGAGAGAGAGGGAGAGAGATGGTGCAGGAGAGATGGTGGAGGAGACATGGGGGAGGAGAGATGGAGGAAGAGTGGTGGGGGAGGAGAGGGGTGTGCGCGTGTGTGTGTGTGTGAGAGAGAGAGAGAGAGAGAAGAGAG